GGTAAAAAAATGCTGGACAGACTTCCACAGGAATTGAATTTAGTAGATTTGGTAATTGTTTGAAAAGGGTTAGATATGTTCCTAAAAAAGTTAAAGCCAACTGGACTATATGGTAGAAGGCTAGAAGGTTCTCCTCTCGCCTGGATCAGCTAGGTTTATTATGTTGAATATGATGGGCATACAGTATGTTTTTTGTTCAGCCTACCTTGATAGCTATGTAACTATGTAAAATATGTAATTGATGATGACCGTCTGAGCTCTGTCGAGACATTGACAATGAAGTGCTGTTGCTTTGACTTCTCTCCACTGCACGACATGTGAGTGCACCCACGCATTTACCTCACAAATAAGAGTGCAGTGGCTACTCTTAGGATTGTTTAAAGTAAGTCATTTGTATCTGTGCATCATAGGGGTTTTCAGAATCAACAGATATTTTTAGGTTCTTGGCTCACACGTGTTGATGTATGCAATATCAATACTAAAAGTATCGGTAATTGGTATCGGCAAGTACATGCGGGGAAGTACTTGTACTTGGGCCTGAATAAGTGGCATCAGGACATCCCTACTTTAAACATATTTTTTCTGTTGTCAAAGTAGAACGCCTGGAAACAAAACTAAGCATTTAAAATCTGCTGGCTTACAAGGAGGTATATGCCACCTCCTGTCTTTCTCTCTCATTTCCTTACAATGAACAGTTTCATTTAGTGCAGATAGTATATCTATTGCTATACTTCTGGCGCTCTGACACACTGGACCTTTGGGTCTCCTACACAGCAGCTGCTGCTTTGCTTGCCTACAGTATCTACAGTCTGCGAACCAGTACATTGTAAACAAAAGAGACAGGAAGTGGCATACACTTGCTTGCACTTAACTCATTTTAAGCCAGCCAATTTTAAAGAACTCTGGGCAGAATAAAACGTATCACTTGCAATGGGACTACCCCCAGACTGCAACAGTTAAGTGCGTGTTTTGGTCTAGGGTCTAAAATAACAGTTGTACTCACCCGAACCTCGGACCCACCTGGCTGCTAGCCTCTCTTCTCCTCTGCCAAGCCACACTGCAAGGGTTACCTTTTATTCTGCCTGGAGTTCTTTAAATACTTTACCTGGAGTTTTGTTTTTTCATTCATTTTGTTTACTATTTATCTGCTAACCACAGAAAACATGTCTTGGAAACTTTAGCGTTAAAAGCCAAGGTGTAGATTGCAGGGATCTCGAGTCTCCCTGATGTTCAGGGAGTCTCCCTCTATTAGATAGCGGCTCCCTGATGTCCGCGAGATAGGCATTTTCTCCCTGAAAGGTTTACTCAGAGTAAACCTTTCCGGTAAGATATCAGTGGGTAAGGTTTCAGAGTGAGGCTTGCCTCCTGGAGGAAGGTCATGTGATCTCTAGAGTAGAAGGAGGAAGAAGGAAGAAGCTACTTGTTGCACAGAGAGGGCGGTTATACCATTTTTAATTATTATTATTATCATTATTATTTCTTTTGTATTCTGACAAAGGCCGCTGTAAAAAAAAACAACAGAAAGGGCACCTCCCTGAAATGAGATGGGAACCTCCCTGAAATAAGGTTTTGCAGGTTGGGATGTCTGAGATTGAAGTTAATAGGCCCCAGTGCAAAAACCTAGCCTGTACTCTGAGTAGGTTCCAGCATGCAAAGTTATGTAAAACCTTACTGCTAAAGTGTGTCCTTTTATTAGCTAAGAGCAAATCTGTACATACACAGAAAAGTGTATACTACACCTAGAAAACGACTAGCCAAATCATAGAAAAAGTCATACAGCTTGGAACACAAACAATATTTATTCAGGCACATTTATATGACAATAGAAGAAGCATGTTTTTTTCCAGAATGTTCGTTAATATAAGGGAAGTTGTGTCTATTGTAACTGGAATAGAATAGTTAAAGGAGGTCCGCACTCCAGAATGCATCTTACAGCACACTTTTCAATCTGGGTAGAATAGTGTGGTTGGAATGAAAATCTCCTTGCAGAAAAAGAATTGATCTTATTCATAATTGGCAGCCCAGAATGTAGTTGTCATTCTCTAAGTGTATCATTTTGTTGCTGTAGTGTAGAGGTTTAGAGTGGTTTAACAAAGACCTGTGTAACAATGGTGTATGAGTGCAAAATAGACTAGATAATATATACCGTCAATGTATAAATATACAACTGAAATACAGTATATCACATTAGAGTGTACATAACAGGGGTTTGTGTTGTAGAAATTATTTATAGATATAGGTCCTCTTTGCATTCAACAATTTTAACCACATCTTATGATATTTGCAAAGATGTACCTCCTTAGACCCAGTCTGTGCAGAGAGTTTGGCCACTTAAACTATACAGGCAGTCCCCGGGTTATGAACAAGATAGGGACTGTTGGTTTGTTCTTAAATTGGATTTGTATGTAAGTTGGAACAGGTAAATTTTTTTACCTGTTCCAAACTTGTTATTTTGTTTTGGATAGCATAGGGAAAAGTTAACCCCCTGTAACGTTGTTTTGCTGTATGTGTCCCTGTTCAGACGATTTCACCTCACTTTCTGTCCCTGTGACAATTCGATTTTGAAAAGTTTGGGTTGTCGTGGAAACAAGGATTGGTAATAAAGCTTCAGTGGAGACACCTTTTTCCCATGATAACTCTTACAGGAGTGAATTTCCTTCCTAGGGATAGATTTCCTTTCACTTCCTGTTGTCTCAAGGACAGGAAGTGAGATTAAATCTTTCTAATGAGGATACAGACAGCATTACAAATCTCAGATTGACCCAGAAGTAGAGGCTGGGAAGAAGAGGCTGGAACCCCTCGTCTGCACGTCTAACAAGAGCCAACTTCCTGTAATGTACGTAAGTACTACGAACCAGACCCAAAGAGGTGGGCACTCCTCGTCAGCACGAGCGCGGTAGCATTACAACTACCCCTGCTGTACAGTAATAGTCTCCGTTTGTAAGTTAGAGTCGTATGTAAGTCAGATGTATGTAACTCAGGGACTGCCTGTATGTGGATTTTGCCAAATCATTAACTCTTTCGTAAGACCCAGAAGTTGAATCCAATGCAATTTTTACTTCAGATACATGAAGTGCAATACAAAGAATGTTTTTCCAGTGCTTTGCAGTGTAAGAAGACAATGACTTCCTTACGCCCTATTCCTGCTTGGAAAGTGAAACCAAGTAGTAGAGTAAGAAACAATGAGTGCCTCATGTACAAAATGTTTAATGGTGGTAGCAACATTAGCGATAAACTGTTTAAAATTAACTCCGTTACAAAAACTAGAGGCCATCACCTAAAATTGATGGAAAAGTGAAACAGGGGAACACACCAAGGACACAACTGTAACAGGCTGTGGCAGCACACTCCCCATCTGGTATTAGTAGATACCATTATATTAATCACATTAATTACATTCTAACAATGTACAGCAATATATAAAATAAGCATGTATGACTCTGTCCACTGCACCTGTAAAATACACACACAAAAACAGGCAACACATACATATAAGTTCATATAGAGGAGATAAAGTCTCTGATGAGTGACAGACTTGACACAGCTGGAACAGTCCTTGAAAGCATCAAGTCACTTCTGCAAGGCTGGCAAGGTCCCTTTATTGGTGGCTCTAGTTGGTTGAAGGAACCATCCTTGTGAGACTGTTTCCAGCTTGCGAAGAAAAGGACTTTCTTGTCTGATGACTGATTGAGGTGACTGATGTGTTTCTTGGATTTTTCACTGTCAGCAGGATTCATGGCATGTTGAGTGTGTTTCAGTAGTTTTAGCTCGGATCTTGATGGACGAATCTGTAGCTGTACCTTTAAACTCTGCTGCAGGAACATAGAATGAATGTACTTTAGGTACCCCTAAAGATTTTCTAAGTGACTATATGTTACTTTTTTGCAGTTGTTAGGTGTATGTTCATCGATGACAGGATTAGCCTGAAGTTGCAGCTGGTCCTCTGTGAGCAACTCTGTAGCATCTATTGAAGTAGACAGAGATTTAGGGTCACTAGTTACACAGACCATGAACTGTATAACTGTTTGAACTCTGATGCTTACTGGAACAAGGTGCACCAAAAACAAGCCAACATTGTGATGTCCTTTCGGGCATAGGCACCATCAAAACCACTGAGCTGTAATGTATTTTATGCACTCTTCTGGTTTCTCTTCCCAACAGGAGCATAATTTTGGCATCATGGTCAATGGGTGGGATGTCACCAGTCAAATCAATGAATACATAACATGTGTCTTCTGGTGTAGGGATCTCCTCTATATCATTAGGTATTTGATTGAGTGTAGGAAGATTCGTTTCATCAGTTCCTTCAGGCCTAAAATGTGGAATATAACATGGGTACAAAAAATGAAAAAAAGGCCTCAGTCATGAAGGGGTTAAAATAATAAAATCTGCAACTGGGGCAATTCGTCCTCACGTTTCTACTGACACAAGGAAGCAAAACCCTGCCTCTACCGCCACAGAGCAAAACCCTGATGGCCACCTCCACACAGAGACACAGTACAGAACAAAGCATGGTTAGTCAGTAATGGGGAAAAGATGAGCTGCAGAGAGACCACAGGCAATACTGGTGACTAGTCCTTTGTGCTCTGTCTACATTTTGTGGGCACAGTTTTCAGAGTTCACTTTCTTTTTAAGGGTAACAGTGAGATGTTAACTAAACATGTGGTTTACTTGTTATGATCAAATGAAAAGTTATTCATTTTATTATATGTATTGCTATTTATCCACTTTGATGCTCCAAAAATATTTTTCAATGTCTTTATATAAATGGCTCTGGAAAGGTATATAAAGGTATATACAAATTATAAATATATAAAGGTATATACAAATTATCCAAATGGATAATTTGTTCGCTAGACCTACCATTCTATTTAAATTGTTTGATCACAATTTTAATTTTGAATGTTTAAATGTTTTTTCTGCTTTAAATTATTTTTCTATTAGTGTTGGCTTGAGAAATGATGCTGAGAGTCTGAAATTGATCTTCTCTTTTCTGGCAGGTTCAGCAATGGTGTATACAACATTCTGTTTGTGGTACATCTTGAAAAGTTTCCATTAGAAATGATTTTTTTTCAATCAGTCAGTCAGGACCTGACTGGATAAATATGGGATGTGCCTCAGCTAAGCATGTATCTACAGTACAAAACGAGGAGGATACACAAAACGGCAAGAACTACCAAAACGGAGATGCCTTTTGTGGTAAGCTTCTTCCCATATAATGGTGATCTAACTCACATCATAAGTCTTAGAGGGGATTTCAGTAAATTTCCATGTTATATAATTTACTAGTGGGATTAAGGGAAGCAGCAAGCTATGATAATCCAATTTATATGTTTCTTTTGATAATCACAGACTTCAAATATTATCTGGATTTCTGAGACATTACAACACCGACATCTGCCCTGGCCCCACCAAGGAGACATTCTTGTTAGATGCCCAAACTGCCTCAATTGTCACCTCTCAAATCAAATGTCCTTTCTCCCTGTGTTTCAGATTACCAGATTTGACAAAGAGTACACTGTCACAGTGTGTATATACTGGCAATGCTGTGGAAAATGAATGTGTATTACTTTTATCTTTGAGATCTCCACAGGGACATTTGTGGGCACTGATAGCCAGGGCACATACCAGTGAGGTAACTGTTGCTCCTTTTTAAATGCACACATTTATAATATAACGTTCTTGCCTTTGAATATACTTTTTTTGTGATTTTTTTTTTCTTCTCCTTTCTATTTGTTCCCTAGTTCCTGATTTTGCTCTCTTTTAATATAAGTTTTATTTCTTGTTTTATAATAGCTAATATATTTGCAGTGAGAATGTACATACTTTTATTTTCTGCTTGGAAGAATGATTTGGAACTTCCACTTGGGACTATTCCTAATAGCAGCAATGTCTGTTTAGATTGCTTAGAGTAGACAGATTGAGGGATTCTAGTTTCACCTGATATATTGCTGAGGTTAGCATCTTCTTCATCTAACGTTTTAGATCCAAAATGCTAAAAAAAGTCAAGTAAATCATAGAGATATGTTTGTTAAGCAATCTTTCACCATTACATTTTTGAACCAGATCCCCATAAAGGTGCCCATACACCTTACAATTATCTGCAGATTTCCTGTGGTCAGGTGGAAAAAGTGCAACAGATTGGCCCAGGTGGAGATTACTCCATCCACACAGTTAAGTGTAGATGTAGGAATCTGTTGCACATTTTCCATCTGACCACAGAAAATCTGCAGATAATTGTAAGGTGTATGGCCAGCTTTGGAAGCCATTTTTTTTATTCTCCCATGTATGTATAAAGTAGGATTTTATATTAAGCTTGTTAATGATGGTTTGGGTTATCGTGGGATGCTTATGGTGGACTTTCTGTGTTTAATGAGTCTACCTCTTTCCAGTTTATTGATGCTTTGTTCTTAATAGATGTATATTTTAGAGGGTTATTATTGTACTTGACATGTCAGTCTGCTTCTCCTGGTGCTCAATACAAAACAAACAATGTCAAGCACACATACATGCACACAAACAGGATAAATATAAAACAAAACAATCAAATTGTATTTACAAGGGAGGCGAAGAGAGAGTGGTCATAAATCTGCAGGAGCCTCCATCTCTGCACCTCCATTTTGGACAACATTGTCCAAGAAGTTGTCATCAGTCTAGTTCACTGTCTGCACACTAACCTGGTTTGTAACCTCTAACTCTTATTTTCCAGAAGTATTCTTTGCAGTATTCTGCAACTTAATTTCCTTTCTCTTTTATTGACACTCACTGATCTGTCAGAGTATACGCTCCCTTTTAATCCATGCCCATTTTTCTGAATTAATAACATCTACTTGTATGTGAAGGAGAATTATGAGGCAAGTGATTTTCAGCCTCATAATCTGAGCCGACCTGTGACAATGAAACTGTCACAGGTCGGCTTAGTAGATCGGGAAGTGAGCGAACACATACTATTGCTCGCTCACTTCTCAATCTATCCCTGCAGAGAGCCGTGACTGTCACTCACGGCTCCGTGCAGTGATTCCCTCCCTTCCCTGTCCGATCCTCTAGCGCTGACTGGCGGAACGGACGGGAAGGGGGCAGGCACAGCTGGTTCTGCCTCTGGATAGGCAGAGCCAGCTGCCACTCATGCAGCTGGGTGGATCTCAACAGCAATGTCGGGATCCGTCCCGGCTGCGGCGTCTCAGTATACCGCGAGCTGTAGCTCGCGGTATACTGACCTTTAGGTCACGGGAGAACTCTAGTTTGTGTTCTCCCGTGACCCTTAGGAGAACTATGGGGAAAAGCCCTGACCCCATAGTTCTCCTTTAAACTAATATACTAGGATGTTAAACTATACCAGTCATGAAAGAAATATGGGAGCACCACTGGTCTCTTTTTGAAATCGTTTGTCACCTAGTTTTGTCTCTTCTCAAGCATGCAGCAAGTGAAAGTTCGAATGAAGCAAAAAATTAATATCTATCCATACTTGTTGGTCATTTACACAGAAATTAATGAAGCCAACTAGGCATTACAGTCAGATAAGAAGCATTTAATAAAGGAAAGGAAGATCAGCAATGAAAGCCTGCATATTTCTTTCATAACCGTTTTTTCCTTTAAACAACAGAGTTGTGAAGGGAATATGTCACTGCAGATACCTGCATATGTTCCTGAGTCTGGCAGCCATAATTTTCAAGGGCATACCCCTTTATAGATGGTATCAGAATAATTTTCCAGTGGCCTGCACTTCATCATTGTAACCCTAGATGGCAGCAGTGCCACATGGTATAAATGTTATGAATCATTAACCAATTACATGTATGCAGATCAGGAAAGTCACAATTTTTTTACATGAAAAAAAAGGAGGGGGGAGATGAAAATAAACAAAGTCAAAATCGGGTTAATTTTAGTGCTGGATGGGATGACCAGAAGCTCTAGGACAATAAATCTACACGGCTAAGACTGCCAAACTAATTCTCATACTGCACAGCCTGCAAAGGGGATCTCCTAACTAGTGACACAATCCTGAAGATTCCAGTGTGTTTCTGAGGTTGATCCTCTCTTCTTGACTGTAAATTTCACAGGGGGTTAGGGTTGCCACCTGTCCGGGATTCACCTGGACAGTCTGGTTTTTGAATCTTGTGTCCGGGTGCCAGGCCAGCTGACACCCGGACATAAAACACTAAGTGCCGATGCCAACACTGCCTGAAGCCGCAGGCGCCTGTAAACGTGCACAGGCCAGGCCGCACATCTCCTCCTTCGGTTTCTTCCTGACAGCACGCTGCCTGCCTCCAGACTCCTCAGAGAGACCCCCCCCTCCCACTTTCGCACATCCTCCTGGAAGCCCACATAGCCCACTTGTGAGCCCACATAGCCCACTGGTGAGTCTGCATAGCCCACTGGTGAGTCTGCATAGCCCACTTGTGAGCCCCCATAGCCCACTTGTGAGCCCCCATAGCCCACTTGTGAGCCCCTATAGCCCAACTGAGAGTGCGCATAGCCCATCTGAAAACGCGCACAGCCGACCCGAGACCCCACATTGCCATTTGAGAGTCCACATAGCCCAGGAGTCTGTGCATAGCCCATTTGAGACCCCACACAGCCATCTGAGAGTCCATATAGCCCACCTGAGAGTCCATATAGGCCACCTGAGACCCCACACAGCCATCTGAGAGTCCATATAGCCCACCTGAGAGTCCATATAGGCCACCTGAGACCCCACACAGCCATCTGAGAGTCCATATAGCCCACCTGAGAGTCCATATAGGCCACCTGAGACCCCACACAGCCATCTGAGAGTCCATATAGCCCACTTGAGTCCACACTGCCGCCTGAGAGCCTACACAGCCCTGGTGACAGCCCGCACAGGCCACCTGAGACCCTAGAACAGCACAGAGTATGTAGCATCATATTATTTTGTATTGCTGGGATTTGTAGTACTCTATAGCCGGTCTCCTTACTCCCTCTCCTCGCTCTCTCCTCTATATTCTCAAAACAAAATGCTGCCGCACACAGCACTAGAGTGTTTGGGTTTCCCTTAAAGAAAAGATGGTAACTCTACAGGGGGTACAGGGTCAGTGTCAACAGCAACCTTTCCAACCCTTGACGATACATTTACTAAACTTGCATGTGCACCCCCAGACCTCATAGCAGCGACATGGGTTGCTATGTCTATTTTGCCACTGAGACCTACACATGTACAGAATACTTTAGCCAAGTCTTGCTGGTCAAACACAAGTGGTGGAAGTCTCCTCAGAAAAGGCTGGTCTCAAGACAAGCTATATGTGAAGAGAAATGTGATAAAATAGAAAAATAGAAAATGGGGCAACTACTAAACGCACAATAGATCAAGAGTAAAAAAAGGCTAGACTAAAAACAGAATATAAAATGTTAAACATGACTGTATAACAACAGTGCCGAGTGTGATGAACATAATTGGGCAAAGGGAGAAAAAACAGCTGAAGCTGGTAATAATAGAGAAGGCATTTGATATTCTATAATTATATATTATTATCAACAGAAACCACCTAAAAATCCATTCTGTTCTTAAAGACAAACTAGGTTAACCCTTGAGTATCACAAAAGACTAGCTAAAGAGAAGAAAAGAACAACTAAGCAAAACTTTCTCTATTTCAATCCTTGAACGAATGGAGCAAAGGCAGGTACCAGAAACTCAAACCGCATTAGGGATACCAATGAATACCCCAACTTAAAGTAGGCCAAAGCTTTAATAAAGGGCATTGCTATTATCCTAAAAGACCTAGGGCACCCTTAGACATGCTTAAGAGTAAGTACTATAAGTAAGTAAGAGTACTAGTAAAAAGTGTACATGGCCACATAATGCTGAGCACAGTCTAAAATGACCTGGTTAAATACATACTACTCCTTGTGTACACTTCACAAATATGCCACAGACCTAGTACCATCAACATATGCCTTTAGTATATCTAAACCCAAAACATTTTTTCTTCACTCTGGATAGAGTAGAGAATGGTTCAGACCCCTGTCAGGTTTTTTTTTTTGCCACATGGGGCATTTCCCTGCACTTATTGTCTTGTAGATCCAACTTCTAACAATAAAATAAAATATTTTTTCTTTTCCTTCCCTTCTCTAGTACTTGAAAGGGTGACAGCTATTGTAAACCCAAAGCTCAAGTTGCATTTCAATCTCAAAGATCTTATATTTGTCAAATCAAAAACTATTATAGAGCAGTCCACATTGGTTTACAATAAGGCTAACTAGAAATTAGTTGTTGAGGGATGGTCTCGGAGTGCAGGTTGTCCAAGTAAGAAGTGACCTGATAGGGATTCCAAAATTCCCCTATACACTTCCTCTATGCACTTCATTCTGATCAGTTCAGAAAAGAAAATCACAGAGGATAGGATTTCAATATAATTATTATTTTCTTGCAGATGAATACAGATTCAAACCAGTTGAAGAAGTCAAATACATGAAAAATGGGGAGGAAGAGGAACAGAAAATAGTAACCAGGAACCAAGAAAACCTGGTAGGTTTTAATTTGTTATAAAAGTTTTCCTAGACCATTATACTTGCCTAGTAGCATGATGTTTGCCAAAATAGCCATGTAAAAAGGTAAGTTGACTAAGAACAAAGATCACACCTGTGAGCACCCTTCCTCAGCAGCTGAAACATATGGATTGCAGATGTCTTAGGAATTGCAACATCAACATGTGCCCAAGCTGCCAGCCCTGCTCAGTCCAAGGTTTTGGACATTATTCACATTACTGCATGGAAGGCCATCTGTAATTCCCTCTAATCAATTAAATGCTTCCTAGGCTACAAAACAACATTTTGTAATCTTTCACAAAGTTTCTAGTAGGTTGTGGGCAGGAGCCCTTTTTATCCTTTTTATTAAAACATTCTTAAAGCTTATGGGGTTTTTAATGCAGCAAATGATATATTGATCACACATTTGCTTACAAATCCTTTCTACATTCATAAAATAAATTTCCCAATTTCTGTTCGTCAGTGGCAAATTGCGCTTACTGTACCATTTGCCCTAAGGTAAGCAAGCCAACAATTTCCTAAAATCCTTAAGTTATCACCCTCAATAGCAGGGCACCAGAACTAAACACCTATTTAGTTTTTTAGGTTTTTGTTGGTCATTCTTCTTCTTAGAACTCACTGAAAGTATCCTCTCATTCCGACATGGGTGTTGCTAGGTTGTCCATTTCTGGGTGAGGCTTGTCTGCATCTTTGCCCTTTTGCGGGGGGAATTCCATGTTCAATGTCAGGGTTATTGTACTGATGCATAATTCAGTCCAGCTTCTCCAGGATTCTGAATCATTTGCTGGTGGCAATTCCCTGACATAAGCCCAGAACTCTGATATGTTTTACTACAACTTTGGCGAGAGACAAAACTGAAGGACTTTTACCTGCTGAGCCGCATGCCTAATTGCAAGACGTGGCATAGATTGCGTTCACATTCCACTCGCTCCAACTCCGTAGAGGGGTAAAAGCAAAGTCACTATTACATATTGTATGCATAAAAATCCACAAATCACACTGCAAAGGTCAAAACCGATAAGATTCATGTCAGCAGGTGTGTAAATGCAGAGAATCCAAGAATACAATCAATTAAAATTGATTGCTTTTACTAGAACCACAATATTTATACACTGTAGGGATTTTGTGTTGTCATTTGGGATATACAAGTAGTGAATTAAACATGAGCATATAGCTGTGTAACTGGAATTCTAAGGGGGCTTTTTAAAGGGTCAAATAGGCGAAGCACACGACTATTTTGGTAAACGTTTCTTCTTTTATGGCTTGTTGTATATGCATACTAATTTTTACTACAGCATGCTTAATGTTTTGATCAAACAAATGCACTGCGCTAATCAATAATCATAATTGCATTTGTTTGATCTAATCTATTTATATTATTAGCACTGCAGCTTTTCATCTTTTATACTTATATTTATCACTTTGAGACAGCTTCCATAGCGCATAATTTTTTTATATTTATTCATGCTTAATGTATTGTTCACCTGGACAGTTCTTCAATATGCCCCTTTTCCAGTTCCCTGCACTAATAATACCATCCTTATTAGGTTAACCCCCAGCTTAACACTAAACCCAGCCTTAAATTAATCTTCTCTTAAAACTAAATGAACACCTAGCTATGTAAACACCTCTTCTGCACCAAGATCTTCATTACACCAGGACTGCACAGTGGCGCCACACATGCTGTGAAGAAGTTCTATTTGGGCGAAACATGCTGCCTTTTTGAAGGCATCCAGCCTGTTTGAGCACCTCAGCCGGATTATGATCTGCATGATAAAAGAGCTTTTCAAGTTATCACACAGACTTCACATGCACAGAAAGAAAGGAGCAAGCAATTTGGGGTGAAGAACTCAAACTGCATTACCAACGGGTAAGATCCATCTTATTTATGCCCCATACATGGAAGATTCAATTGGAAACTCTAATGCAACACCTGGCGTGTTGAGTGACAGCGGTTGTATTTGCAGTGAAGCGTGCTTTCTTGTATCATTACTTCATGTGCACGAACAGTAAAAAATAATATACGTTGAAATATTGAAGTTTCCAATACTCACTGCAGCACCTCATGTTTATATTTTTGGGCACTACTAGCACATTGCTGAAATTTTCATCTGGGATTATGGATGCACGGATCAATGCGTTGCTTGTCAATATAACAGAAGCGCTAATGTAGCACAGGCGTTTGCTCTGGCAGCGCCTCAATACACTCAGCGTTTTGGAATGTATTCAGTTTAATTCTTTCCTGCATAGCATGCATGTATTAAAAACGAACATTGATGCATGCTGAAGCTGTGAACTCTTGCAGTATACTGTGTCTGTGATCGGATATACAAATAACAAGAAGTACAACATAAAATACACATTAAGTGGATACATGTGGACACACATCCAGAAAACAATTCAAGTGTTCTGGGATACAGCTGGATACTTAATTACAAGCTTTTAATCTATAACTCTGCAGAGTGGTCTGAGCCATGAATAACAAAAATACAAGTGTGTATACCAACTATTTGTGTGTATACATAGTATAGGTCCACAGGCTCTATTTGTGCTGTTGATATATTTATGTATTTGTTTTTTTATGGTGCTATTTATTGTTGAAGTAGATGTTTTATAGAAATAAAATAAGTTGATACTAAGTATTTTCTCACGGTCTTTAGTGCCTTCAAAGGGGAAATTTCTTCTATATATTAATGTTATATATCACAACCATAATTTGCATATATTGAGACATGCAGTTCTATTTATACAGTCAGAGTTTTCTTTTCCCCCCGTTTGATATAATACCATATTATCATATGTAGCTGATCGTGATCATGGGAAACCAGTGATTTGTAGCTGCCTAGAAAAGTATTGTAGTCAGCCACAGCAGCAAATCTATGGCCAGCTACAAACTGCCAGGGAAAATAAGCAGAAAGATTTGTAGCTGCTACAGATCTCTGCTTCAAAGCTGTGTGATATGTATTCTGTTTTGGGAAAACTGAGAAACTGCATCCGACTCTTTTTAGCATGTGACACTTCTGGGGTGTCAGATTCCTATGTCCTCCACCGCACTTTGTGGTTTTAGGTTCCATACTCTGATCCCTACGTCATTGCTGTGTCCTATAGTGATTTAGGGGTTGGAGGATGGAACCACAACATGCAGTGGAGAACACAAGCATCCAACACTCCCAAAAGTGTCAAATACTGAAGTATCTGATGAAGGCTGGGGCCCTGGAAAGAAGTGAAGGTAAGAGATACTGGCCATGGAAGAGGTGAATACAATACTCCTTTTATTTGGATTTTTTTTAAGCAACTGAAAGGGTCTCTTTAATTAATAAGCCTTACATAGATATAGGTAAACTTCTACATCATATTTGAATTCATTCTACATTTCTTTCCAGGAGAAAAGTGCCACTCATAATATTCATCCTAAAAACAATAATGAAGCGCAAGGAGCAGGGTATCCGCATCGAATAAAGTAAGTTTATTGTCAAGTTCTGATTTATGAATTGGCATTTCTTATCCTGCTGATTGTGTTATTTTACTGTCAATTACTCCCCGTTAAACATAAATAATATAGACAATAATTTTGTCCATTAATCTTTTTACTCAGGGATTTTAAAATGGCACCTGCAAAATGTTATTTGCTCCTAGAACCCCTTTTTGCATAGTGTTGGAAACATTCACCTACCATAGCCATGAACCCCCTTTTTATGGGCACAAAGGATGTTCAGATACCAAGGACCATACGTTGTACATGTACAAGTTCAAATACTTTTCCAGCTCCAAAACTAAACTAGAGAAAAACTCAAAAGTTAGGAGGCAGCTGTCATTTGTAAGGAGCACACAGAGCTCCTGGGATTTGTGCATCCTTGTTTTAACATATAATTTGTTTTGTGTGTGTGTGTGTGTGTATATATTAGATGTCAAAAAAGACAAAAACGCAGTATTGCAGTGTGCAATGATACCTTTCTTATTGGACTAACAAACTATATAAAAGACAAGCTTTCGAGAGTGAACGTCTCTTCTTCAGGTCAGAAGCAAGAGAAGAAGAGACCTGAAGAAGAGAGGTTCACTCTCGAAAGCTTGTCTTTTATATATTTTGTTAGTCCAATAAGAAAGGTATCATTGCACACTGCAATACTGCGTTTTTGTCTTTTTTGACATCTTGTCTACTGGACTAATACGGCTTACCCATTTATATTGCTATATATATATATAATGTGTGTGTGTGTGTGTGTGTGTGTGTGTGTATAAGAAGGGTTTGGAGGATGGCAGAGGCCCAAACCATGAAACCATCCCCTGGTCAATGTATTGTATCCAGGGATTCCAGGTCCGTTCAAAACGTGCCTGTGTATCTAAAAGAATACTAGATCATTTTTAATGTGCCATGATCCAAGACAATTTAGCCTTAGCTGAAGTTATGGAGGCTTTAGGAGTTTTCCAAGCTTTGGAAATCGTGACTTTGGCTGCTAAGATCATAAAGGAGATCAATGTATGATGCTTTGAAATTCCAGATACTTGGTCGTTAAGGGCAAACCTGGGATTCCTGGGAACCTGCACTCTAGTGACCTTAGAAATCAGAGCGAAAACTCTGTTCCAAAAGCTGCGTCAATCAATCAAAAAGATGGTTGATTGATGCCCATTGTCACCTAACCTAGTAAACTAAGGATAGACTATGAGTGCTGGGTGTCATGGCCCCACCACCTTAGCATGGTGCCCTGCACTAATGATATATTGCTGTACAGTGCGGTGCTGATGTAATCAGTCAATGCGCCTCTCTGCATTATCCAGGGCTGAGTACCATTTGGATAGGACTGAATAGGAGACAAGCCAGAAGACATCAGAAAAAAAGGCAAGGAAAACATTGCATGCTGCTGGTAGGGGGCTGCAGGAGTGGGCAGGTGGTCCTCCTAGGTGGTCCATGGAGTCTGGAGTTGGACATTAAAGCTGAGCTCCAGGCATAAAAACATTACTTTAAATATATTTCTCAATAGCCATAAAGGATATAAACCCACTTGGTGTGCACCAAATATATTTGCAAACCAAGGTATTGCCTTGTAAATTAGTGGTGACATCATCACTGTGTTGTACATAGCCTGTGCAGAGCTGTGAGAAGGGTCAATTATGCCCACCCACTACAGGCTGCTTGCAGGAAAGTACAGACATTGGCAGATAAAAGACCAGTTACTCTGGAGATAAGGATAGAGAGCAGCAGTGACTGGTCTTTATTACAAGAGGCAACATTTCACACTAGATTTCTGCACAGATCTGGACGAAATACACAAAACACACCAAGATTTAAGTAAGAGTACACATGCCTCTTGTATTTAGGCAATGTTTGCTAATCCCAGAGCTCAGCTTTAATGAAATCTTATTCATATATGATAGGACAGTGCTGTTAATGCAATTTTAAATAAATCTGGTGATCTATTAAAGGAGAACTATGGGGTTAAGGCTTTTCCCCATAGTTCTCCTTAGGGTAACGGGAGGACACAAACTAGCGTCCTCCCGTTACTCTAGGCTCAGTATACTGCAAGCTGTAGCTCACGGTATACTGAGACGCCGCAGTATACCGCGAGCTGCTGCTCGCGGTATACTAAGTCGCTGCAGCTGAAGCGGATCCCGACAATTATGCCTGGATCCGCCCAGCTGCGTGACTGCAGCTAGAGGCAGAGCCAGCTGTACCCGCCCCCGCCCTGTCCGTTCCACCAGTCAGCGCTGGCGGATCGGAGCGGGGAGGGGGGAATCCAGCCCCTCCCCTGTCACGGTTGGAGAGGTGAGCTAGCACCGGTATGGGTTCGCTCACCTCCCGATCTACTGAGCCGACCTGTGACAGTCTCATTGTCACAGGTCGGCTAGAACTATGAGGTGAGTGAAAAGCACTCTCCTCATAGTTCTCCTTTTAATGCAGTTTAGGCCCTCAGCCAACCGTCGGTCTACTTGCTGCCCAACTTGTGAACTCCTCACGCTGCCGCTGGAGTCCCTACCGATAAACAGCCAATTGGAAGTGTTTACATGATCAGACAGAAAGAAGTACCCTCCAGCTCTGCAGTCCAGAAGAAAGAAGATTAGGGACTTGGCTCATCAAGTGACCACAGATTTAGGTGAGTATTTGGTGATTTTATTATACATTTTTATAAATATTACTAGGGAATTAGCCAGAGGGGGAATGAGGTAAACGTTTATTGGGAGTTGTCAAAGAAACTGAATGGCAGTCGAACCAAGTATTTGAAAGTATGTTATACATTCATATTGAAGAATATACATGGAAAAAAAAAAGTTTGGATAACCTGTGAAGCTGACTGTGAAAAAATATATACCGTATTTTGCGGTCCATAAGACGCACCGGACCATAGGACGCAGGGAGGTCCGGCACTCCTTATGGAGCACTCGACAGACTGTAGCTTCTGTCACAGCTTCTATGACAGAAGCTGTGACAGAAGCTGCAGTTAGTGACCGCTGAGACAGGTGGAGCTGTGATTACAGCGCCACGGTCTCAGTGATCACACAGAGCAGACGAAGAAAGTCCGTTCTTCGTCTGCTCTATGGTGATCTCGATCGTCGCCGCTGCTCGGTTTTAATACGAGTGATCTCATTAGATCACTCGTATTGAACAAGCAGTGGCTCCTACTGCTGAACGTGATCGCCGCCGCTGCTGCTTGGCTTTAATACGAGTGATCTCATTAGATCACTCGTATTAAACGAGCAGTGGCTCCTACTACTCGCCCGGCGCCCGAAACTCGGGCGTCGGGATTCGCTCCATAAGACGCAGGTACATTTTCCCCCTCCTTTTGGGGGGAAAAAAGTGCGTCTTATGGAGCGAAAAATACGGTATACAGATGTTGCATAAATTAATTTCTGACATGTAGCAGTACAGCGGCACCATAATCATTCACCAAACAGTGGCATATAATAATGAAAAAATACGATCATTTACATAACTTCTTTTCTCTGTGGTACAGCACCACAGTAGCACCAACAAGATGGAAGCTAAGCGATAATGTAGACAACAAAATAATTATATTAAAGATTTTCCTGGGGTGTTACAGTAATCCTAAAGGACTTCATTAGGCAGTGGAAACTATAGAACCTGGATGTTTTCTCTTTATTTGAACTGCTTGTGTTCTTTGCTTGCATTATTAAATTAAAAGTTTGAATGCTGAAATGGTGTATACACCAAAATATTTTTTTCCACTTGTTTCTACTTGTTTTTTTAGCCTCGAAATAAAATGCCCAGCACGTATATTGCACGTGTTAGGGCCCAGTGAATGTACTTGCCTAGCTCTTGGTTCTCAGTTCTTCTTTATGCCCCCTAGAGATACAGCAAAATTCAGGATTAATGAATAAATCATTTTTAACCATTTACTTATCAAAACGTAGCCATCAACACAGTAGGGTTGACTTACTAAAGGAGTATGTGCTGTTCACGTAGCAAAGTGAATTTTCACTTTTTAGAATAGCATTTTCACTTGCCTTGGTGATTAAGAGGAAGCTGTGATGCCTTCAAACATCCAATCATGTGCAGCAAAAATCCATTTTTTTGTTTTTTTTTTGTCTTGCTCATGATTGGGGATTGTTTGCAAAGTGAATTTTCACATCATTTATTAAGCCAAGTTAAATTAATTTTTCAAAGTAGGCATGCTCTACTCTAATAACTCAACCCCAGTGTCCATAAAGCTTGCAATCACTCACATCAGTCTTTGGGGTATTTGTTCTCTTGCACAGATGTGCATGGCATGCTGTTAGGGCCCAATTTATACTTGTTTACGTGTTTGTTGGTACATCGTATTGTATTGTGTTAATTTTGCCATTTCATTCAACACTCGTTCAGGGACCAAAAAAGTTACCTGGCTTCTTTTTCTCCAGTGCACTGCAAGGCAATGCATGTATTTTTTATGCATGCATTGCAGTATGAAGAAGGTCAGGTGCATTCTTTTTTTGTGAGTATGTGTATTAAACATGAACGGCAATGTACCCATAGCGCATACAGGATGTGTTATTGTACCACATGTTAACACACCTGAATGCATTTGCACACAATGTCTTGCATCTCGAGATACAGCAGGATACACATCTGCAGTAGATCACCCATCGCTATCTAGCCTCCAGACTCTCTATTGCTCCCAGCAACAATGATGAGCATAGTTTTTGCAGTTCAAGGACATCTTCAGTGCAAACTCAACTAAATATCTCACCTCCAGCTCTCTCCACTCTAATCTCTAATCTAAATGTAAACATAGAACCATGCATGTATTTTAAAATACTCACTTTTTAAAGCCCTGTGGGTTTTTTTTTTTACCACACAATGACAAGCGTCAAACCAGTGCTGAATCTCGCCGATAATGTTGTACTTTGCTTTTCTCGAATAATGAGAAATAGTTACGTAACTATTTTTTTTCTTGAATAATGAGAAATCGTTACAGAATATATAACAAAGAGCTATACAGATGTCCTATACTCCCCTTTGACATTTATTGCCTCTATCTTAGTAGCTCAATCTGTTTGCTGATACTTTTCCAGCATATATAACAACACAAGAATGACAATAATCTAATTTTTAAAGGGGTTTCAGATGCCACCAGCCATGTTCCAAATTGACAAATTTTTCATTTAATAGTATTCCCAATTTGTATATGCAGGCATTTTTTGTAATGGAAACCTGTACTGAAATAGGCACTTACGATTAATGTACTATATATCTAAACTCAAGAACAAAAACTTACCGTATATACAATTTTTAAGCTTAAAAGTGCTTAGATGTGGTGGCTGCATTTGGTTTCTATTTTCAGGCTAGCACAGGCAAGTACAGAAAAATGACTGTTGATCTTTGCCACAAATCTTGTTTCCTTGTAACTTTCAATTCACTGTATTGAAATTTCAAACAATGTCATCACCTTTCCCGGTTCGTCCTGTGAACCACAGAAAACCTCTGCCTTATGTTAATATGAGAAGAGGGGTAGGTGTTTGCAGTCCAATTTAGAAGAGACGCCTGGGGTGACGGTGCTGCTCCTGCATAGATATAGTACAGTGAGTAGCACCCTAGGGCAGGAAGTATATTTAAATGCAGAGCTTTGCCGCCAATGAGACCAGTTGAAGTGGCTGCCTCAGGCAGCACTCATTGATGCACAGTGGGGGCAATAATAAGGCTGGAGTGTCTATACCAGAGACCCTGTTCTGTGCAGCTCAAGAAAAAAGTGTAATGATGGTTTGCAAAGTAAATCACAGCAGCCGATGTCATTTTAATCTTTTAAAAATCTAGAGTAATTAGAACAATGCACACCAATGTAAATTGATTACTAGGGTACTACTGTACTGTACTATTTTTTTGCCATTCAAATATGGCATTGGGATGGTTGCATTGATGTGATAAATGTGGTCTTGCTTTGCTATTATTTTGTATAAGAAACAGAAGAAAATCTACCTATGATCTCTTTTGTGTTTCCTTTTTAGTATACACATTTCTGAAAGTCAACAAGAGTTTTTCAGACTGTTGGATGAAAAAATTGAAAAGGTATAGTAATTTGATTAATAATCTACCTGAGAATATTGACTTCCTAAACTGTACTACTACCTTCCATTTGGAGTCCCAGGTGTAAATATACAATCTTCAACTCACTAACAGCCCCCTTCTATGGGTCTCTACAAACACAATATCTCTATATAGATATCTTATAAAGCATGGCTACTACACATGTTCTATACAAAAAATATATAATTCTTTACAAAACAGAAAACAAATATGGCACGCACCATCATATTATTAAAAACCATATTAATTGAATAAAGTCCCCATATACCACATATTTAGGACACTGTGGGGTCTATTCACTAAGCTGCCGTAAGCAGCCGAGTGACTCACCGACCCCAAGCAAAGTGAGCCGAACACTGTTTGGCTATTCACTTCAGGCTGATACGGCTGATTCCAGCCGTATATCGGCTGAAATCAGCCGTACATCGGGTGGCTTTTGGGTCGGCCGAACAGAAGGAGTTCGACTCAGCCGATCCAACATCTGGATCGGCTAAGCTGAACCTCCGGCAGGCTACTCGCTGCTCTTCGGTCTATTCTTATAGATGCCGAACAGCAGTGAGTAAATAGCTCAATGCCGCCGAGCAGCATTCGGCTCGGCTGTTCTGCTTAGTACCTCCAGAGGGACTGAGCAGAACAGAAAAATAGTTAAAAAAGTAGAAAACGATTGTGTGGAGCTAGCAGTGACAGGTAGCTCCGCCCAAATGTTTTCTATTGGCCGGGCGGTTCTGCTGCCGTCAAAAAAAAAAAATCGATCGAGCAGAGTGAACCTTTCTGTGAGAAAGTGTTTCTCTCCCGGGCGGCCGGGAGCCTATTAGACTCCCAGAGCGTCCTGGTTACCAGGTAACCAGAAACTACATCTGTCATTACACACTGAGAACACGGAGAGGCCGCTCTCAGTGTATAATGACAGAGTCCCTGGTTAGCTGGTAACCAGGGACGCTGATCTCTCTGCAAGTGGCCGGAGTCAGCCATGAGATGGCTCTGGCCATTCAGCCAGCTTTGGCTTTCAGCGCGGCTCAGTCGAGCCGAGGCATATGCCTTCGGCTTGACTGAGCCGCTCGGCCAACTTCGGGAGCTGTATAGGCTATAGGGAATACTGAACCGAAGGGGTCCTGGGCCAGAGCTTGCCGAAGGATCAGCGGAAGCTTTGTCTAGATCCTTCGGCAGCTTTGTGAATAGACCCCTTTTTCTTGAAATCTTCAATATAATATACCATAGAGGAATCCAACAGCTGAAGTTGTTATTGTTGCACCATATCAGCGTCAATGTATAAATGTGTTCCACTGTAAATTAAAATTCCTATGTGATGACTTGAGTCCAAGATAACAATATTTGGAGGTTCACATTGTTCATAACCTTAATAATTCAGATTAGTAAGAGTCCCAACAGTCCTGTCAAGGTAATTGTGTGCAAGTGTAAATGTAGTTCTAGGATGGCAGTCAAATCCCACTGCACCTGCCAAAATACACTTGTACAGAGATAGTTATAAATTTAGAGTCCATCCCATACAGTAGGTCTCAGGTGTATATCTCAAGGCTAGATCAGTCTTTATCACAGTCGTGAAAGACAATATCCAACAAACAGAATACTGTTTTTATTGTTTCTGAGAGGAATTAATCCATGTCCCTCTCCCTCCATCCAAACAGTGCAGTCTAATCACATCAAATAGTACTCACCCAAAGTATGCAGCGGGTATACGGTAGTTATCAAGAGTTCTCCAAACTCAAACATTGCTGTAGAGCAGAGAATTCCTTAACAAGTGGTCCATAGCAAAGGGGAATGGTCAGAAATGTGACTGGTTTCGCCGGTCACTGCCAGCTACATCAGGGGTGCAGCCTAAACACATCACCGTTGCATCCTCCTTAAATGCGGTACGAGGTGTGAGAGCCGTGGCAACAACACCATCTACCCCACTCTCCCCACGTTGTACAAAGCCACGCCAGGCAAAGACACCGAAACGTGTTATCGCCAAGGTGTGGAGCTCCGGCCTTGCGCATGTGCAATAGCCACCAGGCACCGAAGATAGGTGGACAAAAACACTCCGCCCACATTGTAGCCACGGAGGCTCATGCTTGCACAATCCCCACTACCCAAATACAGCAGAGAGGAAAAGAGTGCGAGGGACCCAAAGTAAAGCCAACAATCACTCTAGCCAAACACTGCAGAGATGTTTGTCAGAGACCCATCATAGAATCTATACACATCTACAAAATAACTTATTACATCTTAAACATAGTTGTGTCAGAAAGAAGCATGTGTAGTGGCCATTTATGTACAGTATACTCTCCTTATATGATTCTTTATATGGAAAGAAAAATATTTACCAAAAGGAACTGAAGATAAGGGCATCATTAAAGTGACATTAAACCCTCAGATTTTTTAACATAAACCAATACTGTAATGTGTGCCTTACTGTAATCCATGGTTGTTTCCCTTCTCTTTGCTGCTCTTCCTTTTAAATCTGTATCTGTTCTCATGCTGGGGGAGAACTTCCCTTTTCAGCTCAGGGCCTCTTCCTGTAGTGCTGGCTCAGGTTACAAACCTATACAAACCTATACACAGACACCGTGTATCGATTCCTGAGACAAGGCAGTCTGCTGCAAAACAGAAGTTCTGCCCAGCATGAGAACAGATGCAGATTTAAAAGGAAGAGCAGCAAAGAGAAGGAAAACAACCATGGATTACAGTAAGGTACACATTACACTATTGTTTTATGTTACAAAATCTGAGGGTTTAATGTCACTTTAAGACCTGGTGGTTTCATAGCCTCCAATTTCCAGATCCATTTACTTTCTTTCTGTAAGACCAAATGGTTAAAATGATCACCCCGGGGATTTTTTTTTTAACTATTACTGCTCAGAAGAGGAGGACATTACATGAACGCTACCTCCTGTGAATAGTGTGTAAATATATTTTATGATGTATTCCTCACTGGATATTTTCTACTGGACTGTGTATGAAAAGAAGATCCAAAAGGCAAATCCTTGAAATGTAGTGTTCAAAGAGGACTACTGAACTAAAATCATTTAGCTGAAGACTACAATACTGTATCCTTGCACATGCTTATAATTATTTCAATCATGCCTGACTGTCATCTGAAAGAAGCTGGTGTATTATTGTAAGAGATTTTAATGCTTCCAGATTTAAAATGCTTCCATTATTTAGTTCCTTTTAGCCCATTGAATGGTTAGAGCACACTGCACTGTGAGTTTTGTGCTTGAGAAACTAGAGAAAGAAGCGGCAGAGCTGAATGTTGATTTTTAGTACTTCCTAACCTATCTTCCCTCCTGCTCTTTATTTTTTTCTGAAACAAAACATTTATCACACCCTGGTAACCTTTCAACCCGCAGTTTTGCTGCACATAGTCGTGTCCACATTTTTTTAAATAATTTCCCCCTTTTTATATATAATATATACAGTATATATATATATTTTTATTTTGCTAAAATAAACATTTGTGTTTCATGTTCTTTGTGCACTTTTATTACAGATAAAAACAATTTTTCACCTTGCAGGTTTATCTGCATCTGATTATGAAAGTAGGAATAGTAAAGCACATGACACCACTGTTTTCCTTTCAATGGAACTTCCCCTATGAATAATACTGTAGGGCTAAAGCTGGCCATACGCTGTTAGAATTTTGTTTGAACGTTTCCTTGAAATCATTCCTCAGAGCATTCGATATCGCTATCACTGAGTCAACCAATTTAGTTTGAGAGCCCTTAAAAATGTAATCCAGACCTGTTGCTTAAATGGAATAAACAAGTTTCTTTTAAGCCCAACACATGCGTTCTTACAATATGTATGATGTTTCTCAAATGAAAATCACATTCACGGTTCAAATTTTGTTTGTTCACTTGAAAAGGAGGGACCTTTTCCTGCACTTTTATTTCTCCTCATTACTTCGATTGAAAATGAAACAAATTACATACCACTAATCATTAGAAAAACAAATGAATGTTCCAAAAATAAATAAAAATTGTTCAATAAAATTATACTGGTGTATGGCCAGCTTAGATCACTGAATAATTTATTTTGACTGTATTTATTGTGAGTCTGTCCAAAGTTGCCTCTGGAAAATTTACATGGACATGACATATCATTGTTTCTTCAGTTACCATGTACATTACATGGTAACTAACAAGATTTGAACTTTTTCCACTGACCATAATGGATGTTTATGGGACTGTACTAACATAAAGAAGCAATACAGTAGGTAATAAATACTAGTTACAAAGTTAAGGGTCAGACTTTTATCACAGAAATAAATGCATCAAACGATCATTAAAATAATGAACTATATGGCCTTGTGAAAGTATTCACACTAAACAAGAGGTTTTTTTTTATTAGAGACCTGGATTAGGTTCAATAATGTCAAAATAAGGAAACCATTAGGGTATTCCATATAAAACACTAAGCTTGGACTCTCAACTATTAATTTAATTTTTTTCACAGACACTACATGCGAAAATGCCTTTTGGTGTTTTAGATGGTGCAGATTTGTAAATGTGAGTCATGCAGTAAAAAAATTATGTGTAAACATTCTGGAGTCTATTTATAACCAATTCACACAGCCATTCACCCTGAATGTTCATTCATCAATCATCAATAATCAACTTTTTTAGATATATTTTCTTTATTGGGTTAACTGTATGTAATACTGCATTTTGACCACTAGATGGAGCTGAGTATAGAAAAGAAATTAAAAAAAAACAAGCTAGTGGTCTATTAAATGCAGTGTTGGCTCTGGGCTGTTTTCTGTTCAGGATCCGCTGCCCCAGGATTCCTACTCATAGGCTTTTATCACACTGGTGGCAAGAACAGGTGGCTGATCCCTGGTTTTAAAGCTCCCCGATCGCTTAGCAACGTTCCTTACTAAAGTGTTCATGTACAGTGGACTGTGTAGTACATATTGAAAAATCAAGTAGCCTTTGTGTTGCAGTGTATCAAAATTGATCTTGCATATCGTGTTTGACTGCTGGTGCCGCGTGTCAACTAGCCTCCATTCATGTCATTTGAAGACTTAAACACATCTATAGTGTTTATGGTGTGGTTGAGATGTGGTTAGAAAGCGTTTACAGGGGAAATAGTCTCCCAGTATCCCAGAAACCAATAGGCAATGATAGAGCAGATGATAGCAGAGGTGCAACAGTCTTACAGGAGGTGAAAGCACCCTGAGCTGTACAATCTGACTGTCCTCCACTACAGTGATGCCTTATTGAAAGGCCTGGGACCAAGCCAAAAAAAATAAAATAGTGGGACGTTTTAAAAAGCAGCAGTATAGCCATACCACTGCTTAAAAAAAAAAAAAAAAAAAAGCCTTTTATTTTTAAAA